ATATATGTCAATTTAAAAACATCCGCAACTAACCCAATAAAACATTTTAGCTGAAAAAAAAAAACAATAACAAAGTGTACATTGCAACACTGAAAAAACCGCACGACATTTTCACTATAACTTTCGTAATTTACAAGCCAATTAAAGTAAAAAATGGGATGCACCCCTGCGCCGCCACCCCTTTAATTATGATTTTTTGCATTTTTTTAATGATAATAAATACGGTTCGCAGCAACATTATTCCCAGTTCTGTGAGGCTGTTGTCGGCCTGCATTGAAACGTATTACGTAGGCTACATTTTAAAGTTTTTATGCGGTACTAGATATCGATTGGATATTTTTTTAACGAACGATTATGTATACTCCCTCTTACTCTCTACTGATGGGGTATAAGTGAAGATGATGAAATGATAGCGAAGTCAGTAAGATCAATTAGCTATCTATAACAAAGATTTTAGAATTATAAGAATATAATAATATACGAATATTAAATTAGAATCAAAATGATCAAAGTAAAATCTTGTATTCTAATGTCTGAACGATTTTACTTTTGTTCACTAAGGCTAATTTATTTTCCTAGTTGCTATGACATCATAGAGATGAAAGGAGTAGCGACATATTAACCTGGTCACTTTCTTGTTCTTTTTTCCAGCCCCGTTAATTTAACGAATTGAATGTATGGAATTTGTGGAATGTATGGAAATTATCAAGGGGAATGAATGCATTCTACTTTGTAACCGATTTGAAATATGACGATAATCTATTAGCTGAAAATTAGAAAAATATTAAGGTTTATCTACAATAGTTTCTACGGGGTACCGCTTGAAAGCGATGTGATTTTATACACGACTAGCAATGGAGTCACCAGATAGCTAAGATACATATTATCTTCTAACTTCATAATATTATATTTAAATTTTTATGAAAATTCAATAAGAACATAGAATTCAATCAAATATTTTTAAAAAATTGTATCTTATTGGTTCGCTCTATATAATGTTAGTGCGATTAATCAAAGGCGTATCTTTATTAGTCTTCTGTCTTCCAGTTCTTAATATAAAAATTGGAATTTGCGAGAAAAAGTGATTTTCAGAACTCATAGCTAGAATTAAATAAAAATATATTAATAACAAAGTACAAACAAAAAAAGTAAACATTAATTTTTAAATCCAACGAAATCTGGGTATTCAAATCATACCTAGTTATAGACAGTTAATCAAATGGTTGGTTAGATTTTACGCTTGAGGAGATGTGCATAAGTTTTGTTCTGAGTTAAACCTAAGTTCATCATAAGGATAGTCGACAATCCCTTTGACTATCTCATCTGGGACTAATATGTCGATTAGTATAATGTATACATATTATATATAAGCACTTCTATTACTTCTGTTAATTATTTACAGAAATAAGACCACCATAAGAACTATGTACATAGAATCCTCTTGTAAATCATTCAAACATTTACTGTCATTAAATTGATTAAAAATTCTTTAACGAATTCATATTGCCTTGTTATTTCAGATCTTTAATGACTTCTAAATAATACAGCTAAACTTTCCAACATAACTGCTGACCTTTTAAATCGACCATCGATCATCTAAAATCAAAAACGACAAAATCCCTCATTTTACCTTTTGAAAAAATTAAACTGTCAGTCGCCAGTATCATTTAAAGATTAACACTTCCCAATGAAAATGATTAAAAATATGTCGCTTCTAGTATTCGACTCTAACCTATTTATAGCTCCATAAAGCGAAGGGTGGTACAGAGCAAGAAACATTGGCTACGGCACATCCAGTAGTAATATGTTAACACTGTTATGATATTTTGTTATTAATAATAAATGCACATATATTCTGAAAATGCTAATTAACGTGCAATAAGACTGTGCGTCTCGTCAGCCAAATCAAAAGGAGTCCTTAAACAAATTGAACTGCAATCGTATTGAAGCAATAGCGGGCCTCACAAAAAGCCGGCCGGTTAATGAAAAAACTACACGCAGTCAATATTTGATGAGAGCCAATTTAAATGTTCGTCCACTTGTAGACATCGCATAGTTCGATCCGCTACCTATGTTGCAATGCTCGTGTGTGCAGTGGGCGGGCCACGCAGTTTCGCGAAAAAAGAAAAACGAAGAATATAAAAATGGCGTCCGCGGTGGTACGCCGAAAAATGCAGATATAATGCGAGTAATAATAATAATAATAGGCTATCAGAACCGCTCCCTCGCCTGCCGCCACCCGATTTTCATTCAAATGCACTTGGTTTTTTTAAAACTAGTTTCTCGCCAATATTTTTTCGGGGTTTCCATTTGCAATGACAGTCGGACGGTCGGTCGTGTTGTCTGTCTGCTTCACATTAGTGTTTTGAATGTTCTTTTTGCATATTCAGTTTTTTAATGTTCTATTGGATCTTGTGGCCTTAATAGCTGCTGCTGTATATTGAAAGTTTTATTCAGATAGGAAAAATTCTTTAAACCGTAGTGACCCTGCATCTATGTTATATTTGGTTGAAAAATTGAACCTTCAATCATCTCAATCCGATTGAGTTAGGTCGGACTGACATATTTTTTTACTTGACTTCGAATTTGTATCTAGAGGTCTCTCTGGGTACAAAATAGAAAGTATTATCTATAACAAAGATTTTAGAATTATAATATAATAATATACGAATATTAAATTAGAATAAAAATGATCAAAGTAAAATCTTGTATTCTAATGTCTGAACGATTTTACTTTTGTTCACTAAGGCTAATTTATTTTCCTAGTTGCTATGACATCATAGAAATGAAAGGAGTAGCGACATATTACCCTGGTCACTTTCTTGTTCTTTTTTCCAGCCCCGTTAATTTAACAAATTGAATGTATGGAATTTGTGGAATGTATGGAAATTATCAAGGGGAATGAATGCGTTCTACTTTGTAACCGATTTGAAATATGACGATAATCTATTAGCTGAAAATATATGATTGCTGTATAAAATTAATAATAAAATTATAATTGCGGTATGTTATAAAGCATTTGCAAAGACTGAAAGAAATAATGATGTTGTTGTATAAAATACAAATTCAATAGTGATAAAATTGGTATAGTACTGATATTAAACAAAAATAAAAATGTATAATAGGAATCATTATGAATTTTGAATTTAATTTAATTTCTGTAGAGCTTGATTAAATTCGAAATGAGGAGTGTATGGCATTTTATTGTGATGTTATTAAGGTCATCCCTGTTTGTATTAACAAAGAGCATGTTTTTAATTTTCGAATGAAAAAAAGACAGAAATTTCCCAGCACACGGAACGGAATAGAACGTAGCTTTCCACGACACGTACGACATGACATTCAATTTAAACTCGGACGCCGGAGCACGCGTTCAATAATTAACATAATGTACTTTTTCTCCTTTTTGCACTTTCCGTTTGACACTCCATCACTCATGGAAATTCCATTTTCAATGCTGCTATATGAGGGGTGGGGCGCGCGGGGTGGTCTTTGCATCCGCGCAATGGACATGGCGGTTTTGGGGGTGAGGGGTGGTCGAAAAAAAGATTGTTAAAAAGGCTGGCCCCCGCCGCGGCAGTGTGTGAGTGCGTGTGGGTAAAAAAAAGCGTTCACTAATCGATACTATAGATTCTGAGGCAAGTAGGTTGCGCCAGTAGCACGCCGATTGGTCGGCACCGGATCGTTTCACGTTTTAGCACAGAACTCTAACGAAGCGGTGGATGTTTAGTCTTTCGGCGCAATTGCCAGGACCTTTTGAGTTGGCAGCATGGAGTCGTCTTTTTGCCGAGTCGGCTGCCGGCCTAACTGCCCGGTCAACACTTGAGAATCAAGCGCGCTTATTCGCACTTAACTTTGTCCCTGTTTTTGTTATTTAAATTCTCTACGACCATAAGTACTGTGCTATTAGGGATTAGTGTAAGTAGAATAACGGATATCATTGCACTTTCTTTTATATCTGTTGTGTCACATATATTTATAATATTTAATATAATTTAATAAATACATTTCCAAATATTAGTTTCTTCGATTAGATGATTATTTGGTCAAGTTTAAGACAAAACATAGAATAGAAATATTAATTATATTTTTATTCTTAATGTTTTGTCTTTGGATATGGTTTCGCTATAAAGCGAAGAAATTCCACCAGTATTTTGAGAACTGCCACACGATATCACTTATCTTTATTTTTGATTTAATAATTGATATTATTTTTTTATTAAATTTATTTATATTTATATTTACGTAACGTCTAATTGACGTGTTATTCCACATCATTTCTTTTAAGAATAGGAAATGAACTTTTTATCTAATATTATATAGTGAAAATTTTATAAAATTATTAAATGATATTTTTATGATGTAGGTACCTAAGTTTGAAATCAAAACTAATTGAATTAATTGAAACTATAATTATATTGGTTTTATATCCAACTTTGGCAGTCATGTTTTTAATTCGAAGGGGCGCAGAATGTGAATGTTATATAAGATTATTAACCATTTTGATCTCAGTACTCTTATTAATTTTCTTCTTTTGATTTCCTCGATATAGATATAGTTTAAGGGATTCTAAACACAATATCTCTAAGAAGTAGGATAAGGGGAATGGGATTATCAGTAATGTGGACTGGTGATTCCATAACCTGCAAGGTGATACATTGCTGGCACGGGGACACCAGTCCGGTCAGGTTAACATCGTGATAAATTCCTGATGATTTATCTGGTTATTTATTGATATAATAATAAATAATATACACACAAAATATCTTTAAGAAAAGGTTATTGTTGGGTTTTTGTAATGGCTTGATTTGAAAATACCCGCCCGCCTGTACTTGGACAAATAGTTTGGATGAGATTTGCGCATGCGGCCGCATAACACGCCACTGTCGCTTGCACATCAACATCGAGAACGCGGCTGGGAGTGTTTTTCTAAACTCTTATTAAATCTAATACTTAATTATTCTTATTATTGTTATTCTTAGGCCCACATTAAAACTTACCTCATTCTTGAGATTGATGGGCTCTTGCTGCGGCCGGGGCGGCGAGTGCCGTCCCACTTCCGCGCCCTCCAACATATCAGCCTCGCATCCCGACTCGTCTGTTGACAAACAAGCACAATACTTACTACTTTGTTTATTTTTTCATGGTAAGTGGTAACCAGCACCTGTATTCCAGAACAATAGTAGTTTGCCTAAGTAGACTTTAGAAGTTTATAAAATTGAATTGCAGCAAACTGTTTGTTAGCAAAAATAGTTAATACAGATTTAATTATAATACATTAAATAGAGAGTTTGTTTGTTTTCCCAATTGTTCGTCTGTTTTTGTTTCGTCTGACTTATCTATTATAATCATCAAACAGATTGCTTTATAAGTAATGTTCCGGCTTGAAATTAAAATTGAAAGTAAAGTTATAAGGTACAGTACCTACTTTATTCTTCCTGAATAAAATGACAATCCCCGCATATAGCACCCACAATGCTTAGTTTAGAGACTAGACGGTACCTTTTGAACTATTCTGGGTTATTATTATTAACACAAAAATGTCCTACATGAATATTATAGGTACTTCGTTTATAGGTACTTAATTCCACTGAGTTTCTCCTTTGGTACTCCTAAGTTGAAGTAGCCTTCCGATTGTTTGGCATACTTATTTAATTATAATTATTAAGTTAATTTAAACAAAATAATAGAACCTTATTTTGTTTAAATGAATTTAATAATGCTTAAATTGTATTCTCTATTTATTGTACTGGATTAACATACTACATAGAACATATGTATACAAATAGCACAATAGATTTCAGATCTCGTGAATTCGGTCGTAAATGCTTCTCTGACTCGCCTCGAGGTACCTCGTCTTGCCTATTTCTGCGGTCCGGCCAGGCGTGTGTTCTTGAAGGGTCATATTGCCATATAAAGATTATTAATCTCGGCATCAATCTATTCATGATGCAGCATAATATGAGTGTATGTGAAAGGTAGTACCATATAAGCAAATATTATACTAAAGGTAAATTTACTACAAGACATGTTTTATCATATCATTCTATGTATTTATAGGGAAATAAGTTACATTTTTAAGAATTTTCAAGAATAATTTTAAGTATTACGTGTATACTGTAAATTTGTATTATCTATTAATACATATTACATACGTAATTTATTAATTAAACTAATATTAAGATATTACTTAATATTATATTAAGTAAGTTTTTGTTGTTACAGATAATAATAATATTAAAAATATAAAAAATATATCTTGCGCCGGATGGCAAACAGTTTTATTACTGAAAAGTATAAACGAATATTATATAGAAAGGGCACGATTCTTTTTTTAAATTGGGTCACTTTTTAGGGTAGGTACTAATCGTAATTCTACATATAATAAAATAAAATTTTTCCTCTTTATAATATTAGTATAGAAAATATTGTATAAATTCTTAACTTGCATTACACTACTATCGTTCTTATAAATTGTCAAAAACATTGTGAATGTAATACTATTATACAATCGTATTACAGAAATGTATAAAATTACAAACAACAAAATATAAATAACATTTTATAAATTCTTAACTTGAAGGCATTGCACCCCAAGACCCGATAAGTTCCGGACCTACCCCAACGCGCCGCTTTAAGTAGGTCAAGTCCACATCTGTCGGAAAAAGCCCCGCTTCTTTGTCTACGTTTCCTCTTTTGCCTCTTATTCGTATGTGTTTGTATAATCATATACGAGTTACACACACATTCCAAGTCTCGGGCGCTTTATTTTGTGCGTATTTAATTAAGCTTCAACTTCTTTGATTTAATTCTTTTATAATTTTGTTTTTATTTCTATGACCTGAGTCCGCGATTTCGTAAATGTTTACGACTACAACTACTACGATAACTTTGTTGTTTGTAAACAGATTTAAATAAAACAAACACTGAATTTTATGTGACCCTCACAACAATCCATTAATGAAAAGCGCATCCAAATAGATTAAGTCATTTCTGAGATTATTGTCACAGGCACGTAGACAAAATTTGTAACAATTATTCTTTTGCGTTCTATTACATTGATAAAGTATTGTTGTATAAGTATGTTTCAATTTTAGTACAAAATATAGTAATAACAAGCGTATAAAAGTATATCTATACAGAAATAACCAAAAATTATCGCTGTCATAAGAATAATAAAATCATTATGACCCAATATATTACGTGCGATGATTGCCATGCCACCTGATTATGAGGCAATTCCCTATCTTTTATTTAAAGACCTATACTGTAAAGAAAATAATGATTAAGTAAATAATAGTTAGTATACAATATATTAATAATAGTTCAGTATTACCTTCAATATTTTAATAAAAATTATAAAACTGACTGGATCGTTATCAATAGCATTATCATATATGTAATTAAATAATTATTAAGCATTTACGACTACGTTAATATTCCATTATCATAAATATACCTAGTACACAACTTTACATCTCAATTATTATCTATATTTATTTAATATATGAGAATTATTAATAATATGTTACAAATGAATTATATATCTAACCAAACCGTCGGAAATGAGGCAGTATCCTTAACCACTAGACCACAGAGATCGTTACACGTCCTAATACTACTATTGCCGTTTAATTATATCAGTTACATTATCAATATCAGTTGCTGTCTCGCAAATTATGCAATAATCGCTACTTAGTGTATATTATTGGTTAATGTAATCAATCTAAGTGAGAGTATAATATGCTTAAACGCGTATTCAAGATCAAGGTGGCAGTGACAACTTAGATATACAAAATACAAATTATATAGTTCGTGAATACAATTCTGTGTCATTGTGCATTGTGCTGACTTATAAAAAAAAACAGTATTATATGTAGAATAATAATAACATAATCTTACTGCGACTTTCTTTGTAAAAAAGCATATTAATTATTAAACTTATTAATTAAAATTCAAGAGTTTATAAATGATAATAACGTATTATTATATATTATAATAGTGTTATTTGATTGAACAACGATTAAGTGCGTAGCAGTTTCTATGTTGATTGTAGGATGCCTGATCCATATTAATGTGTATTTACAACACCTTTTATTTAAAAGAGCTACACGCAAGTTTGTTGCTCGTTCTTCTTGTGATGAGTCTGCGTTCCGAATGAGTGGGAGAATAAAAAAATATGACTATTCAAAAGTACTTATATTAAGTTTATTTGAATAAAGATTATTTCTATTTCAATAATATCTCTGGACAATTTACACAGCGCCATCTTGCGTCAAGCTAAGCAGAGCTTTTAAATAAAATAAGTAGTATATTTTTAATTTCAAATATACAGCTTTCAATAAATGTTTAAGAAAGAATTTACGATACATCAAAAACATATTTTTTTATTGCCTGTCTATCTGTATGTGCTTGGTAATCTCTGAAATGGATAGACTGATTTTGATGAGATCTTAATTCGCAGATAGCTAATGTTATAAGGAATCCCTTAGACTACCTTTATTTTAGTAATTTTAATAAAAAAAGTTAATTTCCATGCGGGTTATCAACTAGTCATAAATAAAACGGAAATATTATGTGGTTTTCTTAATGTTACATATAACACTTGTAACAATACAATACATCGGTAAATCGATATACAGGATACAATACAGGCTTCGACGCAAATGCAACTGACGTTACAACTCCAACATTGTCTTCGGTTTTCTCCCTTGGGGTTTGGTCGTGGACTATGAGTGGAGGTGAATATTTATTGGTTATCTCCCGACTCTGTTCTAGTTGATCAATCAAAAGTGTATTGTGTGTATATTCGCGTCTCTGGTTTTGTATTTCCCGAGGTAAACTTCGTACAAAGTTGTCTGTGTTATCTTTTTTGTCGTTTTCTTTCTATTTATCGAATTAGATGTTATTTTGCGGAAGTTTATTTCGATACTTACTGGACTTATATTATTTTGTTTAATTCCAATACTATTAGCATATATAAGACCAAAAATATTCGGAGTCGAGTGTAATTTATATCCAAACTCTATGCAATGCCTGATGATGTCTCGTTTAAAGGCGAAACACGTATCACAATATGAATGACTCGATAACGGTCGGCATTTCATCACCGATAGAGAAGGTGATAACGCTTTCAGTTGCGGTGGTCAGGTTTCCGCTCATAGGCCTCTACTTTTTACTTATACAATATCTTTAAATAGTATAAAACAAATTCGCCGCCGCTGTCTGTTAGTTTATAACTTTTAAATTACGCAATATATTTTAATACACTTTTCACCAATAAATAGAGGAAGGTTTATATGTAGATAGAAATAAATGCGTGTTATAGTATAAAACAAGAGGAGAAATTCAAACATTTGTAATGCATCCGTGCGAAACCGGTGCGGGTTGCTAGTATATAATAAATCTTAGTTAGTATATAGTATAGGTATTAACTTATTTATATTAATGGTTTTCTTAATAAAACCTAAATATAGTGGGAACTAAAACAACTAGATATTCCCAGTAAGAAGTATTTATGAATGCAATCAATATTTCTAGGAAATGTATTTGAACGCTGGATGAGTTAACGAGATTACTGTCGGCGCAGGCTTTTTTTATTTACATTTCAGTATTATTGATGTATCTACTGTTAATACATAAATTATTTGTTTATCTTATTTTTTATTTAGTACTAGCTATGCGCGGGTTCACATCATTTCAGCCTGTGTCTGTCCACTGTTGGACATAGACCTTTCCCAATGACGTTTACCATGTGCGATCTTCCGCCTTCCGCATCCATCCACTTTCGTGAAGTCGTCGGTCCATCTTGCAGGAGAGCGCCTGATACTCCGTCAACCCATACAGGGCCCCCACTCCATAAAGGTTTCACATATATGAAATTTCCAGTTTGTAGTTTCTGTACAGTTTTTTCAAAATCTGTTCAATAGTTTTTGTGTGAATGAGTGACAGACATCCATCCATCCATCTATCCATCCATACTTATAAACCTTTACTGGGAAAGTTTAATGCAGGTCTGTATATTCTTATGATCTCATAGTTTGCCATTCTGTGATCTGATAGTCACAGGTTTATTTCTCGCACAATAAATGTCATTTG